AGAACTTGCTAGAGTTGGTCTGTGGTATTTGAGAGCAGAGTCAGATTGTTTTTAAGTTTGAAGATTACAGATACTAAGCTGATGGCTGCTGAGCTCAAGCAGAGGTACAACTCCGTGGCCCTGCCAGCAGCCTAAGTGAGAGTCCACAAAGCAGCATGGTAGTTGGCCAGTTTTAAAGCCGCTCAGAGTGGTAAATTCTAGAACTAATTGAAGGGAAGCACATGTTTGAGAATCCACATCACCAGCACAGTGTTGCATAAGTCAACACTCAAGGTTGCTTGTGACAGGAAGAAGTCAAGAGTTGGCTGGCCTTTGGGTTGTTTGAAGAAGTCACAGCTTGGGCTGAGCCCAAGTGAGTGGCAGGTCAGCACCAGCTGCAATAGATAGAGCTTGTCGAGGGCAGGCCAATTGACCCTTGGCACCATTGCCATGGGCATAGAGGTTATAGTGAGTGCAGAGACCTCATACATATGTAGCCTTGCACCACCAACACTTGAATGATCTGGGGTTGTCACTGGTCTATGTTTAAAAACAAGATAGAGAGAGAAATGAGGGAAGAAAAGAGTAAGACAGGGTGAGAAAGAAAACGAGGAAAACAATCAATGACTTTGATGTAGAAAGAAACAAAGTAGAGATTAAATAGAGACTTGCGTTGCCTTTGATGTGAGTCGGAGGATGAAAGAACTTGAGCAACTTGGAAAACTGTCCAAATTTGGCTTGTCAAACACCTGGTGTCAACCACCTCCATGTCGGAATCCTGATTGACTTTGATGAAATCATGAATTCCAGCCTAAAATCAAATCAAAAGGAAAACATGTCAGTAAAAAGAAAGAAGAATAGGTCTGATATTGATCATAGTGACTTGCAGATACACCAATAGATTTCTTGGGCTTCTGTGATAGCCCTCAAGTCAAAGTTCCCACAGCTTTGGAGCCCCTGGGACAAACCTGCCCACACAAAGGCTTTGCAGGCTTCACCTTTGAGCCTTTCTTCTTTTTTTCAGGTAGCATCAATAAGAAATCTTCTGCTTGGGTGATTTCTACACCTGATTTTCTGATAGAGGTGGAAGGGTGTGGTGTAAACTTTTTTGGTCCAAATATGTATATTACCCAGGGACCATGATTATTACATCAGGTAGTTTTACACAGCACTTGTCTGTGTAAAATGTTTGGTAGAAATTTCAATGTCACAACTGGGTTCCCCTATATTACACCACAACTATTTCACCTCTTTTTTCCACTTTGTTGAAAAAAACAAAACTGGTGAAAAAATGGTGAATTGCATGGGTAATTTGTACTTTGACACCTGCAAATAAATTCCAGCGACTTACCCTGTTTTTCAATGCCCTGGTGTAAAATCCTCCCACCCAATAATAAATCAGATATTAGTGGTACACAAAGTTGACAATCACATAAAAAACCCACATGAAACCAAATGGATTTTTTTGATTTTCCCCACAAAAACCAAAATCTCCATGTGGTTTTCTCATGTGGTTTTCAATTTTGGGTACCACTATTGTTTGTAAAATTTGAATTCTGCTTTGGTTTATTTGATTTGACACCCCTTTTTTCTCACACACCAAGTTGAATGTCAAAAAAGAGTTGCAAAGATTTGCCTTTTCAACAAGGTGAGCTAGAATGTTACATACATTAATTCATGCTGTAAATTGTTGTGATTGATCAAAATTGAAAATCAGGCTTAAAAATGAAGATTAGGGGAGCTCAGGCTAAGCCAATTTTTTTGCTTTCATGACCATCAAAGAGGAAATCCCAATTTCATAAATTTGTGTGTAAATTTCATGAAATCAGGATTTCTTTAGGAACATCTCAAATGTTTATGAGCAGCAAAATTATGTCAATTTACATCAATTAAAAAACCCAAATGACCAAACTCAACACTGTGAACAGCATTCAACTTCCCCAAGTGGGAAGGGGAACCCAATTGGGAGTATGATTTTTCATAAAAGGATCTATCACCGCACACCTGAGCCATGGCACCCACACTACATATGTGTAGCAGGCTGAGTGAATAGGTGGCTACCACGTGCATACAGGTTTGCTCAGTTATGTGCTCATATGGATATGTGAATCATATGTAATACATGCTGTAACTTTGTTTCAGCTTGACAAAATCATTCCAAAAATTGACTACATACACTGACTCATAGATTTGGTGTGATTTTGTCAACTAAACTTTGTGTAACACCCTTTTGGTGGATTGCTGGGACCATTTTATCCATGGCAGAAAAGTTACATGATGTATCACATGTGATTTATTTAGTCAGATGAGCAGACAGCTGAGCAGACCTGTATGTACATTTTTTTTTTTTTTTTTTTTGCATTGCTTTAAGTGCTTTTTCAACTAAGCCTACTGCACATATGTAGTGTGTGTGTTATGGCTCAGGTGTGCAGTGATGGATCCTTTTATCACAAACTACACTCTTAATCATTCTCCCCTTCCCACTTGGATAAATTGAATGATGTTTACAGTGTATAGTGCTTCAGAATTTAGGTTGTGGGTGCTGTCAGCCCTGAGCCCTGATTACACAACCACGGGCTAACAGTAACACATGTAATATTATATAATTGTATAAATCCATAAGTACATCTCACAGCTCAGTGTCAAGAGCCACATGAACACATGTACATAATGTATTAAATACGGAACAAACCTAACCCAAGCGCCAACTACAAGTGAGACAAGAATCACACGCCAACCACAAGTTGAGGCTTGACCTGTGAATATATAAACCCCCCTTCTTCCCTTGATTCATCCCCCATCTTGAAACACATCACAACATTAGAATCACATTATACTTGAAATCCTATAGAGAGGATCATTGAGTATGTGATTAGTTGTGTAGTCTAAAGACCAAACTTGAGCATCACAGGTTCTATTGCTGAGCACCCCAGTATTGATTTCTACAAGCCTTGGGCCATCATATCCTCTAGAAATAAACCGTAAAGCAGCAAAGCTTCCTCCCGTATACGGAGTATAGAGTAGCCTTCAGGATCTTTGGTTCACCCAAGTGTAAATCCTGCCCCTCACAGTTTCACGAGGTTAGAGCGTACTAGCTCTTTGCTGCTCTTAATCCCTTTCTCTCTTCCTCAAATCCTCTTCTTAGAGGTCAACTAGCTGTAGTCTTCACTTGGGTGTACCACGTGAAGACCACGCTTTACTTCCCTTATCAATTTCTGAGTGAAGAGTATGCCTAACAGACGCGCACTCCTCACAGGTGCAGTACAAAAAAACACGCCTTGGAGATGCCAATTTGTGGGCAGGCCTAGGTGTTGGGGAAATTGACAAAATCAGGGTTGGTGTGCCTTTTCAAAAATCACACCAAATTGTAGTACATAGTTCTAAGTCCTGTCATCAATATTGGTGACTTGGATACTTGCTGTAAGCTTTGATGACATCTCTTTTTAGATTTTCTCACTTTTACAAGGCAATTTTGCTGTGGTGGACCATAGATAGCTCTAGCAATACAAACATAGAATAAATAACAATGAAAAACAACAGTTTGGCTATTGGTGATTTTTTTTTGTAAGAAAACACACCTAGACACACAACAACCAACAGAACCATGCCTAGGCACACCTACAAAAATATGAGCATGCCCACAACCTGATTAGGAATGGTCTGAAGCACTATATGTAGCACTACACACAGCACCATACAGGACCATAAGGTGAGATAATGGCAGAGGCCATTGGGGCCCAAATGCAGGAACACTTTGCCTTGAGCTTCAGCCCATCCATTGGATCTTCCCTTCTCTTTAATTACAATATATTCTAGGTCTTTCTTCAATTAAATACTTTACAATTTAATAATGAAAGCTTTCAGCACTATGATTTAGACTTCAATCTCAACTTACCCTCAAAGCTACAGTCTGTAGTTGGTTCCAATCATGACTATGAACTCAAATACTCCTTGAGAGCAAGATGAATTGGGAACTTCAATAAGCTGATTATTTGTGAGAATAAAGTTGGTAATCAGATTACAAAAAAAAAGCAAAATTTGTTTCAGAGCAGATGAAATTAACAGACTTGTGAGTTACTGAATATTCTTTTTGAAATGTATCTTTATTTTGTGAAAGTGGTTATAAATTGTGTATTTTATAAGCCCAGATGGACCCTGAATTTAACACAAAGTATTAAATCTGATAGCACACTATAATGACCCTCCAAGAATTGCATGAAATGAATATAAAAGAGTGTACTATAGAGTGAAAAAGTCATACAAAAGAATGGCAAATAAATCGATATAACACACCAGAAGATCACCAGAAACAGAATGTTAAGAACACATCAATTGTGTAGCAAATATGAAGAATCAAATTGTAATAGCAGGAGGCAGAAGGAAAAGTAAAGTGAACTGTGTTTCAAAAACACATGGTTAGCATGGAAAGGCATGCAACAAGGCCGGTTGAGGTAAGAATGTGCTTGATAAGAGTGTACATCAAAAATAAAACAATGTATATAAGCTTAAGAAAAGGTGGGTTTTAACAAATACTCAATTGTAATAGCTCATTTGAAAGACTCATGGTGGTAAATGAAAGACAAAAGAATGTATGAATATCAATCTGGAACAGAAAGTAAATATCCAAGAAAAGATATCATTGAGAAAATCTCAAGTGCAAAAAGCTTGTGTATTCTTTCAAGTCATTCATTACATTTTTTTAAAAAAAACAGTCTGAATAGACAACCAGAAAAATCTGATACATACAAAACTTTAATGAATTCACCTTCAATTTCAATCATTTTCAATATCTCAAACTTTACAAATCTAGTGAGTTATAAATTAAACATTTTTCATTCAAACCCAAACCCAAAAGTAAAGAAACATACAACCTTTTCCATCATCAACATTTATTAACTTATTTCTTCTTTTTTTTACAAACACAAAACCATAAAGACAAGTAAACTGACGAACCACATACCCAAACCCAAACCATTTGAATCTTTCCTCAATCGTCCTTTTCGAGAATCCATTCTACTTTATTATAACTTATACCGAATCGAATCATGATTAAATTCCTTTAAGATCAATGCGATCTGACCAGCCAATTTCTCAGGCACTTCTTGAACAACCAAATGTCCAGTTCCCATGATCCTAACAACCTTCAAACCTTGTGAATTGATTTCATCAATATAATATCTTAGATGGTTTTCATCCAGAACCGAACGGTTTTCATCAGCAAAGATATACGCGATCAAAGGTTTAAAATCTTGGTTTGATCGTAATAAAGTTTTTAATTTTTCGTATGCTTGGATCGAATGACGAAACGGATCGGCAAAGACAGAACTTTCGTGAATCGGTTGAGTCTTTAGTCGAACTTCATTCGAATCACGTGTTTCATGTAACCCAAACTGAAGATATCTTTTCAAAACAATCGGATCCCAAGTTCCAAAGAAACTTTGGTTTTTAAGAAACGATCGTTCAGCTTCGTTTCTACTGTTCCATTTCGATCGTCTATGAACCGATAAACTTGTTCGATACTTTAGAATCGTTTCTGTTTCTTGATCAGTTCGAAGGGCTGGATTTATTACTGGATCTATTAAGATCATCGAATGGATCAATTCGGGTTTAGTCGTCATTGTGATGGCTGAGGCGAATCCGCCTAAGGAATGTCCGATTAAACAGATCTTCCGGTCACGCCATTTCATGGGTTTTGTGGGTGATGGGGTTCTTGATAAGTTTAAAATTGATGGGTTTGGTAAGACTTGTTGTGATAACATTCTGGGGAGGTCTTTGGGTTCATGGGTGGTGGTTTGGCTTTCAGGTAAGTAAGAAATGATAAATTGAAGTAAATCTCTTGATGTATCTGCCCAATAAACTTGAAAAAAAACAATAGATTCATTATAAACCATGAGAAATTGGAGTTGAACCGAGACAAAAAGTTAGACTTACATCTTTCACCTAATGAATCTTGGTTTAGGATCGCACTATCACCTTGATTTATACAATCTAAACTCCAAATCTCATGAATCAAATCAGATTGAGGTGATTGTAAAAGATACGAAAGCATAGGTTCCCAAGTCTAAAGCCAAACCCAAACGAATAAGTAGGAAAGAAAGCACATAGAATCCATTAAAACTTTAAAGCTTACTTCTTTGTGTAATCCATTGGCATGTGAAAGGATCAAGGTAAGTCCTTGATTCGAGTGGGTAGATGAAGTTGAAATGGTTCTGAAATATCGATTCACCGAAACGTATAGTTGTTGTTCATCTACTTGATCTACTTTCATTGTATGATTCAGTCTTGGACTAGTTCGATTAGCTTCATAAACCATATGAGCCATTTGGTTTCGGTCTTCTGATCTGATCAGTTTAGTGGATGATAAGTTCGGTTGGTTGGGAAGAGATGATCCCTTGAGGGTTCTTGGATAGGCAGCTGGAAAGATATGGTTCGATAAACTCCATTGGTTTAGTTTGGTGCCTACTAAATCTTGAAATGGTGATCGGTTTGAACAAGTGATGGGTCTTGGAGGTAGGTTTGGTAAGGTGTTGATGGTGGTGCTGGCTGGTGCTGGTGATTGGTTTGATTGGAGTTAATGGTAATAATTTGAAGGATTGATCTAGTTTTTGGGTTGATGGCATTTGGGGATGGTGATTGTGATTTATCGAGAATTGTGAAGTTGAGAATGTGGTTGGATGGAAAGAGAAATACAAAAGTTTCAAGTTCGGTTTCCTGAATACAACTTCAACCTTTTTCATACTTACATACTAATCCTACTTTCTCACTCATTAATGGGAATATCATTTTCAGATTGATTGGTCTATCTTCATGGATATCACTCGGATAAAAAAACAAGCAGATCAAGATCCAATTAATCTTATTCAACAAACCCACGCACTTCTATCAATAACAAACCAACTCTAAAAAAACCAAAAAAAAATAAAACAAATCTAGCAACTCAAGATCGGAAAAGATCGACCCATTTTTCCCCAAAAAAAGGAAATGATTTTACAAACTCTTAATTCTAAGGAAAGATATATTAACAAAAACAAAAAGCTTTCGGGTTCAAGGAGACTGTTCTTCGATCCATCTTCTTTGTTTTTGAGGATTGATCATCTTGTTTTCAGTATGAATTGAGTTTTGATAAATCGGTAAATGATGATGTTGTTCCAACGAATTTGAAGATTTCCATAAAGATCTTAACATATCAAAAGATGATGATGATGAAGTTGATTCTTGGTTTGGGTTTTGGTTTGAATTCGAATGAAATCCGTAGTTTGGAAAACATGATTTAAATCCTACACATAAACATGAAGAAGAAAATGCAACAAAGAAAACTAGAAAAGAAAACCATCCGTTAGCAGATTTGGAACATGGTTTGGTTTGATTGGGTGAAAACTTACCAAAGTTGGTGAACCGATGACGAAGTTTTGGAGAAAAGATGAGTTTTGAAATAGATGAATTGATGGATCTGATTGGTCTTGGAATTCGTTTTGATGGTTGTGGATGAGTTTGGTTTTTTGTATTTAGTTTTGTGGTGGTAAAGAATGAGATGTTGAAGGTTTGATTTGATTTTTGAGAATTGCTTGGGGAAGAGATTAATGAACTCATTCTTGATATATCTTCTTGATAGTGATTGATAGTTTCTGGGATTTTTTCAAAGTACAGAGTATCTTTGAAGTGATCCGATCCGATCCGACCCTACCAGTACTTTACTTACTCCGCCGCAGCTGACTGTCAAACAGGACTCCAGGAGTGTGATTTGATGAATCACGTGATATACATACACCCTGTAGTCATATGTAATGAAAAAACTCTTGAAAATCTTTGTAGGGCTAGCAAAAACATGCGCACCTAGTGGGGTAACATTTGTGGGACAAGAAAAGGTTTGAGAAATCATGAAGTACAGGAGTTTCCAAAAAAAACAAACGTCATCCTCCTTCATGAACTGTTCTTTTAAGCTTGCACTGGATATTAATGATGTAGATTCTACTTGATAAAGATTCATGATTTGGTTAAGACAAGAACAAAGTTTATAGATTGAGTGCACTTTATTTCATTTTTCAGGATCTTTCAAAAACTTTGCGCACCCTTGAATAAGTTGCTTGTTTTTCAAAACAAGAAGATAACTCAAGGGGTGGCATTCTTGATTGAAAGTACTGTAAATTTATTCAAGAAGAATAACTCAATGAAGTATAGTGGCTCTGGAGTTCCAATTGAGTCATAACCTGTCAAAGCCTTTAAATGTGATTTTGTTTTATCAAGTTTGCCCTGAAAGCCACATTGCGACTATCCCAAGCTTCAGTCTGCTCAATTAGAAAAAACTTTGCCTATTGCCACTTGCCATACACAATCAATGTGTGTGTGAACTGTTCATGCAAATGACTTGGTTTCTATTTCTACTGATTGTTTCTTTATATCAGCAAAAACTTGCTTGTCTTAAGCTATCGTTTGGATCATGGATTTCTAGCACACAAAGGGTTTTTTTTACCATTTGCTGTGGAACAGAAAAACACACCAATTGTTTGAAAAACAATCAATAGAAAACACCATAAGAACCTTTATGACTCTGAGTATGTATTTATTTGGAAGTCTGGTTATCTTATCAACAATACTCATGAAGATGCTGTTGAAGATCATCATCTGATCAAATGGAATTTCTGTAGGTCATCAGTGGAAGCACTACATTTTGTCTACAAGACATGGTTTACTAAGATGAACCCTTCACCTGGTGATTGGTTTCTTGGATATCAAGACAATTGAAGTCCATATAAACTGGAAATGAATGCAAAATCAAAGATGAATGGAAAAGAAGTCAAGTGAGATGGAGGGATTTTTCTGCTCCAAGTCAATAGGCTAGTAATTATGGGCTGAGGCTTGGGTTATGCTCAATGGGGCTTTCATGGGAATTGTCATGTAAAAAATTGCATTTTGATGGTTTGACAGGTTTTGACTCATTTGTGGCTCCAGAGCCACCATAATGAAGTCATTTATAAGAATTGGCTCTTTGACCATGGACATGGTAAAGCGAAATTGTTGAATCATTTTTGATTATTCCTAAACATGGATTTATCAGTAAAGATTGAACATAACAGTGGATGAAGCACATGAGGGAACTTCCTTGCTCGCTGCCATTTCTGCTTTTGACTTGATTAAATCCCTCCCACAGCAAAAATTCCTGTCAGGATTTGGCAAGTCGGGGCGCATGCTGTGCTTCCCGAAAAGCATCGGGCAAGCCCTCGTGGTCTGGCCCCAGGGTGTGTTTAAGATTGTATCACGTGATATACATATACCTAACGCACATGTCGCGTTTGAAATTGATTGGTGTCCTATTCCATATCCACCACTCTTTAACTTTCCTCATCACTTTCGATCGATCAAAGCCAACATCAAAATCAACAGAACACTTTCATCTCAGCATTCGACTCAAATCAAATGCCCAGAGAACTCATCACCATCTCAGCTGGTCAGGCCGGTAATCAAATCTCATCTGAATTCTGGCCACAACTTTGTGCAGAACATGGAATCTCACCTACCGGTTTACTTTCACCACCACCCATCCTGTCTAATCCATCAAACACAAGCTCACTTGATTCAACCGCACCAAACGATCGAAAAGATGTTTTCTTTTATCAAGCAGATGATGATCATTATGTACCAAGAGCGATTATGATTGATTTGGAACCTAGAGTGATCAATACGATTCTTTCAAGTGAGTATAGTAAATTGTATAATCCAGAAAACGTTTATTTGAGTAAGGATGGAGGAGGAGCAGGAAATAATTGGGCAGCAGGGTATTCATCTGGTGAAAGGATTTATGAAGAAGTGATGGATATGTTGGATAGAGAAGCCGATGGAAGTGATTCATTAGAAGGTTTTATGTTGTTACATTCGATTGCTGGAGGTACGGGTTCAGGTTTAGGTTCTTATTTACTTGAAAGACTTTCAGATTCGTATCCTAAAAAACTAGTTCAAACTTATTCAGTTTTTCCAAATAGTCATGATTCTTCTGATGTAGTGGTACAACCTTATAATTCACTTTTAGCTATTAAACGATTGGTCAATCATGCCGATTCAGTAGTTGTTTTGGATAATGCTGCATTAGCTAGAATCGTTTCTGATAAATTACACGTCTCTAGTCCGACTTGGCAACAAACAAATCGATTGGTCTCTACAGTCATGTCAGCTTCAACCACCACACTTCGGTATCCTGGTTATATGAATAATGATTTAGTAGGAATGATTGCAAGTTTGATACCCACACCCAGATGTCATTTTCTTATGACAGCTTATACACCTTTCACTAGTGATCGAGATGGAGTAGAAGAAGCCAAGAGTGTTAGGAAGACGACGGTTCTAGATGTGATGAGAAGATTATTACAACCAAAGAATCGAATGGTCTCTACCGGTGCAACGATTAACAAATCGGCTTGTTATATCTCTATCCTTAATATCATTCAAGGTGAGGTCGATCCGACGGACGTTAGTGATTTAACCTATCTTCAAACTCAAACCACTTCTCTGGCATTGGTTGACATAAATCTTGAGAATCATCATACCCATCTTTCTTTTTTTTCTTCATTTATGCTGTTTTTTCTTTGGATCGGGTTTGGACTTCTTATCCTTTCTTCCCTTTACTCTTTTTTTTTCTCTCTCTCTATTCAATTCTTCACCCCATAACATAGGTTCATAAATCACTCTTACGAATACGTGAACGACATCTTGCGAACTTTATACCTTGGGGTCCTGCTTCAATTCAAGTAGCCTTAACGAAAAAATCACCTTATATTCAAACACCACATCGAGTTAGTGGATTAATGTTAGCAAATCATACAAGTATCACTTCAGTGAGTACATTCATCTCTTCTCATCAACTTATCAAAACATAATCATAAAACTCATTACAAAACTTTTCTGGAAACAATAGCTCTTTCGACGTACATTAGATCAGTATGATCGATTACGTAAACGGAATGCATTCTTAGATCAATATCGTAAAGAAAACATCTTTGCAAATGGACTAGAAGAGTTTGATGAATCTAGAGAAGTACTTCAAGAATTAATTGATGAATATATTGCAGCTGAAAGTCGAGATTATGTGGTAAGTGATCCGATTTTCTTTGTTTTTTTAATCGGTCCGATCTCTGATTTTCGATCTTTCATCTTTTCTTCTTTAGAGTTATTCTGATGGACCTAAAGGTAGTGGGGATGATCATCGAGCTCCTTCTTAATTGATTTGTCAATATTCATTCTATCTTGTTATCGAAATTGGTTTGATGTGTTGTTTGTTTCTGTTGTTATCTACCTACAAGGTTTTGTGGAGTTTTATGGTAAATTATGTGGGTTTGGTAGATCCGTTATATGAACAGTGTAAATGATTCTTGAATTCAGTTAGTAGAAGCTTTATGACGATTTGCTCACTTTGTGCAGTGACCATAGTGGTGGAATATGCTTACTGGCGTAAATCGTACGACTGGAAACATTGCACAGGATCCCGTGTGAAGGTGACCTTTCGAGTGATTTGTGTCCTTATAGTTCATGAATTTTGTTCATTATGAGATCAGATATGAGCCTGGAACTCCCTCATAGGGGCTGACTAAAACCAACAACGCGGGCAGTGGCCATCCCGAAAGTCGCCTACCCGAGCACCAGACCACCATGCCCCCGACCTGTCCAGTCCCCAGCACTTGAAGTTCCTCATCTGGTGAAAGAAAAGATAGGTGAGTTAATGATAGTATCTTAGCTTATCATAATCAGTGACATTATCCTTACTGGTATCATCTGGTATCATCCAAGGCTCTAATGCTGTACAAGCACTTGCAAAAAAAGACACAACATAAAAAAAACATTGCAAAGACCATCAAAAACCAATTGAAGGTGTGACACAAAAGAGAGAGAGAGAGTACAAGAAGAAAGACTAAATACAAGACCAAAAAGAAGAGAGACAAAGTACGACACAAATATCAGGAAAGAAGATGTCTACACCATCATTTCTCACCAGCACGGTAATATGGTATTATTCAACTGCATCTTGTGAATGCTATGATATGCCGAAGGGTGCATAAGCTCACTAGGCTCCAGCAGAAATATGTTGGCACAGACGGTAGTGATGAAAGATATCCATGCTTTTTGATGACCAGGACAGTTTTTGAGGGAATCGTTGCAGAACTCATATAACAAACACCAGAAAAAATTGAACTTGAGATGAGTCAGGGTAAACCGTCAACCTGGCGGTTTTGACAAATGCACCATGCTTACATAAGAATTGCACCCGGGTTTTTACAAGTCATAATTGGCGCTGTAGGAAGACTTGTTGAATTGTGGCGTCTGGGCGCTCAATTGGTAAAAAAACATGTCTCTGATAAGCACGCTGCACTGATATTTAAGTAACAGTGATCATGGAATACGAAACTGATGAAAATCACAAAACTCAGCGCTGACTCTCCGGTCGTCTTTAATTATCCATCGTTTTAAAGTATGTAAAATAAATGAAGAGAGCCGATTGAATTTTCTAGAATTTATAAACTTCTCGGCGCATGACCCGATCGCAGATACGATTGGTGGAAATTTAGACAAATGAGAATATCAGATCTACTCATACATATATCACCGCCCCCAACCCACTTCGGAAAGACAACTCTCAAAGGCGCAAGCAAGCAAGCAAACATAAAGGAAACAGGTAAGTTTCATAAACTTCAACAATTTTCAACGGGAGTGTTTCCTTTGATACCTATATCTGATTAAATTGCGCAAAATGAAATGTGATTGTGAGTCATCTTCAGCGTTCATCGAAACAAATGTAAAGTACAATGTATCATTTACGTACAAAAACTTTTACAGAACAGTATAGGAAAGAACTCGAGAAATTCAATTTGGCAATTGATATGATCTTCATGAATGGGTCTATCGGCCTTAGGAAGAATGACTTTAACGAGACCCACTTGTCTAATTTGACTCGATCTTTCGTCTTATCGATCAGTCAAAACACCCAAAATTCTAATTGTAAAGACTCATTGAAAGTCCAAGAGACCATTTCATGTCTGTAGTTGGTCTCTTCTGATTTTTTTTCAGATAACATTCCACCTGTCTCAATTCCTGAAGATTGAGTTTAGTACGTAGAAATTATGTAAACTCGGATCAACATTCCAGAAAATGAGGATGATGATGAAATTTTAAGAGTTTGAATGATTTACTTAAAGTTCAGCAATCATGACCAGACTGACTTTACTAGTTGGGTATCCCCTCTCATTTCACTTTCAACCCTTTATCAGCTCATCGACAAAATCTCTCTGCCTAAGAATCAAGATTTCTTTATTTCAATCACCCTTTCCCGCTCACTTCATCCTTCGCTAGGGCTTGGCCAGACGACTTGTTGATCAGTTCAGTGGGTGAGGTCAATTCACTAATTTGTTTAATTTGCCGATACGATACAAATCTACATCAGATATGATAAATAACTAAGTGATCAGATCACTACTCTAGGATATCCAACTCAAACGAGACTAGTGAAGCTTTTGGCGCGGTTGTTACAGTCTCGAGTGATTCTACTCAGCGCGTGGTTCATGGTTGGGCGTGTGAAAAATAATTAGGTGAGGTGGTTCGATGATGATGGATCCATGAAGAGGAGATGCAAAACTAATCAGGCTAGTGTTGACGATTTTTTCTTCAACAGTGTTTTCTTCATGAAAGCGAAAAACTGAAAAGCTGAAATTGAATATATCAAGGAAAATTTTCTTCATTCCCAACTTCTTCCTTTCAATCAAAACATCATTTAGATCGAACTTGAACTTTTCTCACTTCAGGAAAGATAAACACAAAAATCGTTGTAGTGCCCTAAATTTAAATCTCATCACTTCAACCCACAAACACACTATAAACGTAATAAAATCTAGAATATATCATCTCAATCTCAATCTCATTCCAGCCAAATATTCAAATTCAAGTTAAATTCATCTCCAAATTGTTTGAGTGAATAAATCCTTTGACTCTCCAAAGGTGTTCAATCTTCACAAACCGACTCACTCGGATTCCACAAGATTCATAATTCAAAAGACTCCCTCAAGATGAGTTTTGATAGTAAGATGATCAAACCAAGAATTAGAATTCCACTTTTAGGAATCTTAGATTTAATGAATCATCAACAAGTAATTATCAAGAACAGATCATTTTCACATTATTTACCATCTAATTATCATTTACTTGTGATCTGTTTTATGATTCAATTCCTTTTAATCTTTCATTCCACCTTTCGCCAATCTTCAATTGGAACTTGGTTCAAGTCTTGTATCATTTTATTCTTCATAAATCAATATTTGATATCCAATTATCATTCATCATCAGAAAATTTAACGTCAGATTATATACCGGTCACAAATTTTCACAATCACCATTATCACCATGATTTCAATGACTTCACGGATGGCTACTATTACCTCAATTACTTATTGATCATCATCAACATTGCTCAACTTATTTACAATCCAATCCGATCAGTTTACTCAATCATTGTAGCTAAGCTTCAATTTCATCAATTTAGAATGGAACCAGATCAATTCATCAAAGATAAAATTCAAACCACAAACTCATCATCACCCAATATCTCATTAAGATTACCAAACTTAATCCAAAGTTTTGCATCAAATCCACCAACAGATGCTGGTCTACAGTCAAAAGCTCATTCAAGTCCATCAAGCGGAGGTACCACTTTACTTTTCTCAGATCATTTAATCCGAGCATTATATAATACACCTTCAAATTCAGGTTTGAGTTATCAAGCATTTAAATCTACCTTATATGAACATGTTTTTGGGTTTTCTAAATTTGCTTCAAATGATTTTGAAACTTTAAAAGAACTTGAAAACCTACTACATACTTCATTGAAGAATTCAATCACATTAGAAAAATTAACATCTAGATATTTAATTAATTTGGAAAAGTCTTTGAATCGAGTTCAGATCCATCAACCTATAGGTTTATTTTCTACGATTTATAATTTAGTTTATATTTCATCTTCAATTTCGTTTTTTGGTAAAAAGTTCAATTCAAAAGAAGCTTTAAATCATCTTAAGATCTTCAATGATGGGTTAGGTACACTTTTAAATTTAATTTCGATTCCACATTCGATTTTTTTACCTTCTGGAATCTTATCAAAATTGTTTGCTAGAAAAACAATCAAAGCTAGGAATGAATTAAGGGATTTGTTTGTTGATTGGTTAACGCATAAAGATAGAAATCATGAGAATGAGAATGAAAAAGATGAATTTGATGAAGCTTGTTGTATTGTTAAGGATTTGGTAAGGATTATGAATAGAGCTGGTTGGTCTATCAATGATACTGCCACGAGTATGATGGTTTCTGTGAGTTATTTTTCAACAATTTTAACCATCACTTTCGGTAATCAATCAAATACTCATCTGGTTTTTTTCTCTTTTTAATTCAAGTTTTTCGTCCTTCAGGCAAATGCAGCAGACGGAGCAGGCTGGTCAGTTTTACATTTAATTCAATCACCTAAAACTTTGAATTTGATAAGAGAAGAAATGAAAATGAAATTAGGAGATGATCGAATCTCAAGGTGGAATTCAAACTTATTATCACCCACCAACATTCCATTTTCAAATTCAATAATCGACGAAACATTGAGATTAACAACGTCAGTGTTCAGTATGAGAATAGTGGAAAGTAGTAATGCAACAGTCAAATTAACAAAAGATTTCGAAGTGAAGAATGGTACAAGATTAATCACAGTGAATCGAGCAAGTTCATTAGATATCAATATTTGGGGTCCAAAAGATCCAAAAGTTTGGATCCCAAATCGATTAAATCATCTCAATCGAAAATCTTTATTACATTTCGGTTCAGGTCAAACTAAATGTGCTGGTATGAAATTTGCTCAAGTTGAATTAGTTTCAATCTTATTAGGTTTTTTGAATCGATTTGATTGTCAACTCTTAAGGAAAAATGGAAATCAAATCTTGATTGATGATCTTGATGATCAAATCATCGGATTCTCTCCTGGGTTTTTACCTCCTACTGTTGGTTTAGGTGTTGTCATGAAACCTAGAGAAGAAGTTTGGGTTAACTTGAGATTGAGGAATTTGGAGAATTGATGTTTGATTTTCTTTTACGTCAGTCTGTTTGCTTTGTTTTATGATATTCTTATTTTCATTCTTTCAAGTCGGATAACTGATTCTTTCTTTCACATTCTACTGTTTAGTTTGTATGAGAATTGATGGGTGTGTTGGGGAGTTTTCTGATGAATTGGTTGGAAAATTGATTTGATTTTATTGGGGGTTGCCTTTTGGAGGAGAAAAGTAGTTAATGTATGATAAACACCGGTCAATTTGATTGGTAATGATAATAATAATGATAAAAAAAGCTGACCAGCTTTAAGAATTTTGCTCTTAAATTGTTTCCAGTCAAAGAACGTTCTAAGAGTTCTTCATGAGAAAACATGACCGAGTACTTGACATGATATGATGCTCGCACGATGATTCTCTTTGGGTTCTCCGTACTCTTTCTTGCCCGGATTCCCTTGGGATTTCAGAGTAAGGAGGTGTGCGGGGATGTGAGGGGAGATGGATTCCATAGCACCCTTTTGCGCTCCGTCAGAAACTTGCAGCAATTCTCTTTGATCCTTTGATTCAAGGGTCCAGATGTTTAAGCAGTCGGGATCAAAAATGACTTTCAAAGATGAGTCAAGTTTACACGGGAAAATTGTGGTTGATTGCAGACATTATATATGCCAGAGTTCAACGTTCTGAAGGTTCAAAGAATTGCATTTGGAGCATTAAAGCAGTAGGAACCGTTTCTACTCGTCTGTCATCGAAATGCTTCAGCCAGTAAATTCAATTCATGTCTCATCCTTCCTCCTCTGAAGGGAGAACCTTTGTCCGCTACTTGAAGTTAGAGTGCCGGCTGGATCACCCATGTCTTGACTTCAAGCATCAAAACTTGTCGTTATCCTCAAATTTTCCTTTCTACAGTTGCAATCAAAGCTTTGAAACCGTTTGTTATCCTCGACACAAATAATTACAAATCGTGCATGTTATTCGGACTCAGCCCGGATCGCACTGCACCGCATACGGCCCGAGAAACGTCGGGGCGGTTGCCACCCTTGGTGTATGCTCCTATCTTGTTCACACTGCACTTTTGTTAATTTGGCTTCAACTGTCTCCATCAAGTTCAACTCTTAGATTCTACCCCTCGAAGCTCAGCATACTCCAATACAAACAAATCCTATCGAGCGACCCTTGGAGTACGAATAAACTGAAGGAAGAATGGCCGCGCGAGATGACCAAGGACGACATCGTTTCAACTCATCTAATGCCTTCGAAACACACGGTCAACCCAGCGGCCAACCCATCAGCCAGTCCACATACATACCTCATCACTCTTCCGGTGCCGCAGAAGGTCCATCTTTTTCGAAATTATTATCAAGATCTATCGCACCTCTTTACAAATCGAAATACTTCCCCTCAAATCACTCCGAAGTGCCGTTATTCTATTCCACTCGGGAAGGTTACGAAATAGGTCTGAATGAAGACGAAGATATAATTCCCAACGAGAACGACGACCGACTTCAGACTCGAAGCCATGCGAAGGGAAGAGGAATCGATGAGCAAGACGATGAATCAGAAACATCTAGATTTCTCTCCAGCCCTCAGGAAACAGTCATTCAAGGCCAAGTCCACGATGGGCGTCAGCTGCTCGATTCTATATCCCAATCAGATCCTCAAGCTTCCTCTTCCGGAGTGCATACGGATGAAGATTATGCAGATGCTGGAGATGACGGTGACAGCCCTTTCTATGTAGAAGACGAGCTTGACAGAGGTCATCTTCAACAGAGCATCAGTCATCCCGTCATGCAGCTTCCAAGGCATCTTATGGCGTCACATGCTTTGTCGCATCTTATGGCATCCGAGATTGCCTACGGAAATCAACATCTTCAGTCTTCATCTAGTCATTACGCCGCACACTCAGCCGATAGATCATTACATCAACATGACCAATCATATGCCAATACGAATCATCATCGACAATCACCGCAAGTTCTCAACCCACCAAGTACAAGTGGTTGGAAGATGTATCAGAGTGTAGATCACATCGGCAATGATCGCTCACCTCGAGGTCAACCACACTTCGAGCAAGCAGTGAATCGTGGAGCAAGTCGGCACCTTCCTCTACAGACGCCGTCCGATAGTATCAACCTAGAACCTGGACTCACTCATTCCCCAAACAATGACCAATCATCCAATCATGCTATTCGCTCAAACTATCCGGAAGATCTATCCCGGACGACCTTGGACATTCCCAAACATCCGCTCATCAGACCAAGGCCACCGGAACGACCCGCACCCATTCAATCACACCTTCGAGACAATGCTACACATCCTACAGCCGCTTATCCGATTTCACAGAATGCGTTTCTTCCAGATTCATATGCACCTACGCCTTACATCTATCCATCAGAAGCTCGTGACATCGGTTCGGATGTCTTAGGTCATCCAGCTCTTGGCCCCCAAAGCTATCGCGATTCATTCTGGATGGCACTGTGGCTTGCGTCTCTTCTCTATACATTTTTGCAGTCCCTTTGGGTCATTCTCTTCGCCACTAGTGAAAGATCTTCTTCCAGCCCATCTTCACCATCAAGTCATTCGAATCTGATGAAAAGCCTTCCTGTCTTGGCACTGTTAATCACACTAACATTTGGGTTCTGTATCATATCGTTGAGCTTACTCGTGATGGTCAAGAGATCAATAAAACTCTTGGTGTATGGAAGTGTAATCGGTGTGCCCTCGGTTTTGAGCATGATTGGCATGTGGACTTGGTCTGAATCACTTTCAGAGACATCTTTGACGGGCATGGGATGGATCAGCTTCGCGACCTTCATTGCATCATCAATTCTCGTTAAATTGATCTGGGATCAGCGGAAGCGGATTGACCGCACAATCAAGGTGATCGAACTTTCGACGGGAGTGATCATCGAGCACCCAAGTCTAGTCTTAGTCTGTCTAGCCACTACATTGGCCTGTATCGTCATGAGTTTACCGTTCATCACATTGGTATACAAGCTTGTATCGCTAGGGTTTTATGACCATGATCAATGGGTCATTGATTCGGGACCAATCGCCCAAGTGCTTCTCACCGCTTTTATCTGGTCTTGGTCCCTCAATGTGATCCGAAATTTGCAAAGGATCGTCATCTCTGGGGTCGTTTCACACTGGTATTTCAATCGACATTCGCCAGCTGGTCCTACTCACAAGGGATATTCGACTATCGAGTCAACTTATAACTCTATCAGTCGTGCGATCGGGCCTTCATTGGGTACAGTGTGTCTATCCAGCTTCCTTTTGACTTGTTTCGATAGTACGAGACAGATGCTGAAGTGGAGCAATAAACTCACCTCAGCCAGACAATCGAGTCCAATGACTCAAAGTGGCGAAGGACAGGGGTTGATGAACTTCATCTTCTGCTCCAACCCAATTGCTCGTTTAGTACTAAATAATGTACTTCTGGTGATAGCACCTATCGTAGGATTTGGTTGTCGGATATTTGAGTTCTTGAGTAGCTATACCATCATCTATTCGGGTATCACTGGTTTTAGCTATTGGGAATCGAGTCGGAGAGTCACTGGCTTGATAAGTCGCAATGGCCAAATTGGATTAGCTCATAGTATGTTTCTCCTCTCACCTTGTAATACATCATTCTTGAAACAGTCAGCTAAATGTTGGAAATTGCCTGCTTGACATACATCATTTGCCTATCAAGATCTAATGGTCAAATTGATCTTAAATCTGGTGTCCTTAACCATCAGCTTGACACTTGGCTTGATCGGATATACGGTGGTGATTGGTCGGCGACAAGGCGCCAACGATGAAACACAATATGCATTCGAACCTTTGATTTTCATATTGTGCGGAATTATGCCATTCTGGATCCTTCGTTTTGTGACAGACCTCATTAGTAATTCGGTCGATACACTGTTGAGTCATCTATCATATTTTGCGTTTTGCGTTTTGAGCCATATGCAACCCACTTGATATTATCTAGACTTGGCTTCCCTGAACTGACGGTCAAATCATCATCTCATAGGTTCTGTTGTTGGAACATCGATTTGGACATCGGAACAAATCATTCAAATAAAACGGAAGAAGCTGTTGAGTTCCTACACGCTTCTATTGATTTGATCATCCTTCGATGACGACTAATGCGAATGCTTCCTAACATGTTCTTTTCAACTCAGTTCACCGGCCGGAATGTCGCGCAACCGACCATCTAGGGATTGAACCTCATCTTACATTCGGATGAATCGAATCGAACAATTAACTCTCCAACTCAAACCAGTAATACTTTTAGAGCCAATGTATCATCAATCCTCGCATCTTCAACCGGCTCAACGCCTTATGGCACACATTTTACACGCATTAGTCATTATGACTATCGAAAGCGAGCTATTCCAACGGCTCCAGAAAGTCAAACGATTACATGCGCTAATTTCCAACTGTTTTTTATAGTGCATGCAAGGTTTAGCAATCACGCAAACATGAACTACTGCTTGCTCCTCTTCAGATTTCTTGACGTTTGTATGTTTTACGCGTTGTACATTTGTAGATCTGATGTAATTCTCCATTTTGTAAAAACCAATTTTATTTGGTTTGGTATTGGTTTCTCTCATGTGTTCAATGAAAGTGATAGACGTGTATCTTGTACATGGACATCTTGGGATATTCAAGGTTGTACAAATGTGATTTCTTCTTTTTTCTTTATCTAGCTAGTTTCTTTCTTCTTTTTTTACTTTGGTCAATTGATAGTCAGATCATTTGTCATATGTATCTGGGTGGATTGAACCTGCCCCTGGCTACACCCACTCCTCAGCTCAGCATTCCAAATGGGAAAACAAGGCTATTATTTGGCTCGGCAATGGCAATCAAACCATTGCATAGGAGTGCATAAAGTCGCTTTGGACAGTTTTCACACAGAAAGAGGATGATGTTGATCATCATCATCAGAACAATAAGAGTGGAGACAGTTTGAACAAGAAAGTTCTAATTTATAAATTCTATAGCTTGATCTGAATCACAATTAGCTGGGTTTATTGAAACACCATGCAATCATCCGCCTTTCTTTTGTTGACCGCCAAATATACTTTATCAGTGCCTTGACCTAGTATACTTACTAGCCAAGATCTTCATGTCCAAAGGCAACTTGGAGTTACAGCTGTTTCAATAAAGATTGATGTTTTTTTGAAAATCTCATTGACACGCAAAATGTTTAGTTTGATGTATCACCCCCAGTTGTCCATCTTTGTGTGTGTGTCACGTTTCAGCTCTCATTGTACTATTCATTGCATTTTATTTCTTTTCTAAACTTGTCTTGCTGTTCTTTCTTTTCCAAGCAATCACTATGTAGGTTATCACCTTCATCAGGTTCTAACCCGGTGTGTGGGGGGGGGCCGTAGGCCCGGGACTGCCTGTCCGAGAAAGGGTTTTCGTGGGCGGGGGCGGGTGGGTGGCCCATGAAACCTTGACTTGCTGCTTACTGATTTTCCTGTTTCCTTTGTTTTACTTACTTTGTTCTCTTGTTAGACTTCTTCTTTTTGATTTACCTTGTATTCCCTTCCTATATTCTGTCGCTTATCTTTTATTGCTCGCTTGATCTTTAACGCCGCCTTTACGTTCGCATTTGTCCTCTATCTCTCTGTAGGGTGGGAGGGAGGGTTTTGAAAGAAATAAACTATATGTTTCTTTGCGGGGTACAGCGTAAATCTTGTAGATTTGCAATTCGAGTCTGAAGGTCTTGAGTGATGTAGCGTATACAGAACTTTGGGAATAAAATTTTCCCAGTTTGTATCGCTCTCTCTCTCTTGGGCCAGGTATTGTCCCGGCCCTGGGTTCGGACTCATACACCGCGACACTTGTCTCGATGGAACTCACTAGGTAACGTCGTACCTTTGGCCACCTGTGCCAATCCATCTTTGTGTGTGTGTCACGTTTCAGCTCTCATTGTACTATTCATTGCATTTTATTTCTTTTCTAAACTTGTCTTGCTGTGGTTTCTTTTCCAAGCAATCACTATGTAGGTTATCACCTTCATCAGGTTCTAACCCGGTGTGTGGGGGGGGGGGGCCGTAGGCCCGGGACTGCCTGTCCGAGAAAGGGTTTTCTACCTCCCAATCTCTGGACAGGTGGCGTCCTGAGCCCGTCGAAAACCCACTTACGGCAACAGTCCAGGCTGTACAACTCTGTATTTGCTCGCGTAAGATCTGCAATTCAAACTCCACAAACTTTATTTCACCAATTCAACTTCCACATATTTTCATTCTCTTGCCCCCATCCCCTTTTTCCTCTTCTCCTGAACCTCAATCTTATTCATTCACCTTCTGACCTGCAGGCAAATATATTAATGAGTGTCTCTTTCTTTTTCCCTCTCATTTCTTTTGACAAAACTCACTTATGCTTCTGCCAGTCTTCGAATTCCAACAATTTCCACAACTCTCTCGTTTCTTTCTTTTCGTCTTGGTTATACTTCCTCAAGTATAGTTGATAGGCTTTTGATTGCCATCTACCAATCGTTGTTATTTCTTCTATTGGTCTTTTTTCATTCCATCTTAGGGTCGCTCCTCCTACTCGGAACGAGTGGCCCGACAGGTGAGCGGTTTCCCCATTTCCTTTCCATACTCTTTTGAAGATTCCCATCAGTTTTGATTTCGAAATGGTGCCTCTCGTTCCGTCATCCTCTAGGTATGAAAATAAAGGATCATTCGGTCCTGTTTTGTTTTCTCTAACCATCCTTTCTATCGCTATCGTTGCATCTAGATACGAGTGTTGTCTCTTGAGTTTTATATATTGGATTTGGCCTGGTTGTGCTGTCTTGGCGTTGAAGATCGCAATCGTCACTTTGTCACCCTCGTTCGAGCAGGACACATCTTTTTGTCTTGCTAACTTTTTCTTTTTATCGTCCGATGCTAGCTCTCCCAACCGTGCCATTCCCCAGAATGCCACCAACGCGACTGTTAGGGCTACCTGATCTCTCTTGCTTCCTTTTGACAATTCGCGTAACAATTGTACTAAGTGCCTCAACATTATCGGCTTCTTTTGATCTTTCTCCGACTCTCGTATCACTGCTTCCGCTACTTTTGATGATTTTAATAATACAGACAGCTTCAAGGTGTCATATTTTGGGTATTCTTCGTCATGAAATAAATGCCAGCATTTTATTCCGGTGAGGTATTTCTTAAGAGTATCTACTTCGATCGTTGCTGATAGTTGATTTTTCTTTTCCGACTTCCCGTCTGATTCCAACTTCTTTCCAGCCCATACTATGAATTCATATAATACATTATTTGATAAAGGTAATAAATCTTTCTTCCGATAACCTTTTTCCACAGCAAACTTCATCAACTTTGACACTCCACTATTATAATTTACTAACGTCGCATCTGCCCAGCCTCCTGACAGCATATGAGTCTGGACCATGTTCTCTCTCCACTTTGACTCTCCTTTTGCATTTTGTAAAAATAATTTTATCTTGTTTTCGATTTTTGGAGATATCATGCTTCCTCCAGTAACTGCCTCAGATCTTCCGGTAAAACTATGTTCAATCTCGGTCCGGATTGGTTCAATTTGTCGAGGCCTCTCGATAATCCGTCTGCGTCGTTATCTCCTGATTCTACTCTCTCTTCAGTAATGTCGCACTGTAATCTGAGAAGTAAGTCCTGAATTTTCTTCCACTCCTTGTTTACCTGTTCACTTTTTGATCTTCGCTTGTGAATTGTTGACTCAGTGGTTGTATTGTCTGTTTTCACCCAGAAATTTCTTCCCCTTACATCCATCGATATCTCTAACATCAACAACCCCAGCCTTATAGCCGCCGTTTCGGCCCAAGCTATGTCTTGTCTTGTTTCATCTTCTTTCAGACCGATCGTGGTCCAATCTTCTCTCAACTTATAACGCACCCAACCAAACTTTACAATAACTCCGATTCCTACTCCGCTCGCATCTCCTACCCAGCCAACCCTTTCGGGCTCAACTTCTGGCACGATCCTCCTAGGTTCGAATTTCTGCAATGCATCTCTCCAACTTTCTAAGTCTAATCTCGCCGTTCGTGATAAGAACCTTTTAGCGTTCGTCTTCTGCCACGGATTTAACCACGCATATAGTCCCCTCATGTATGGTTTCATGTTTGGAACTATATACATCAAGTGAGCTATTTTCCCTATTATCGAGTCTGCCTCTTTCATCTAGCATCCTATTTATTGAATCCAATCTCTCCGCCAGTTTTTCGTCGGGCAACCTAACCGTCTTATCGACTCCATTAAGAATGAAACCTAAAGATTTTTGTTCATCGGCGAATTCCCTCAATTTCTCGAAGTTAGTCTTTACACCCATCCTTGTACTCAGATTCACTACATCTTCTATCCGTAAGTCATCTTTTTCTAACTTCACCACCATGTTGTCATCTACCCATCTGAATATTTGATCTATTTTCAGATACTTCAGCACTATTAACCTCCACGCATCGGCTACCTTTCCGAAGGTCCCGCACCCGGCAACTCCTCCAAAAGGCACCGCTATGTCCATCCAGATCATGTTGTAGAAGTCCTTAATTGCCAGATACCTCCACTCATCTTCTTTCGTTCCAGCCTGCCAACACGCCTTCTCCCAGTCATAAATGGCCAACTGTATAATCTCATCAAAGTGTTTCCTGAAGTATCTCTTCACCGCGTAAAAATCATCCCAAGTTGTGTCGAAATTATGTTTATCTACCAGGGAATTTACGGATGGAATCTTTTCGTCTCCTACTGGCCAAGATAAGTCGTTGATCATTCACAACGAACCATCGTTGTTTACAACACTCCCCATTGGGTTTGTTCGAAAGAAACCCCATTTCTTATACATCTCCTCGTGAGTGAATGGTCCGAAAACTCTCCCTAATTTTTTCTCTTTGTATAGATTTCTCATGATTTTTTCTTTTACCGCTAGTGCTGAGCTATGATTGTCCGGAGTCCACCACCTTTTGCTTCCTAGGTAATGTTCCGGGATGCCTTGTGTGAACCCTTCCACTAGGCCTTTTATTACCTCATCGACTTCTTTCTCTACACCGCATTCCTTCGCTAGTTTCCTCCATTCACCTATGTTCATGTCGCTCTTGGGGTCTTCCGGCCATTTCCCGTTTCGTCGTGCCGTCTTTACTTTCGGCTCTTCATGCTGCGCTTGTTTATCGTCGACTTGTCCTCTCACTTCAGGGTCTTCGACTTGTCCTCTCACTTCAGGGTCTCTATCTTCTTCGTTATCTCTCTCTCCTCTTTCAGGTACTACCCTGTTTCTAAAACGTGCGGCAACAGGAAAATATCTCAGTCTCACGGTTCTCACATCTCACGGGGTTACTCTCTTAGGCATGGTATCTTTCATTACTTGTTTGCAAGGTACGCCAGAGGGTAGAAGGACATAAAACAATTTCTCATCTACTTACGGCTGGCCTGTAGCTCCATTTCCGTTAGTTCCCGCTTGGCGTACCGCCTTCACTGCTTCAAATGCACCCGGTCCGAATTTCGGCACTACCACACCATTTACCACGGTTGTTGGTGGTGCAGCTGTGGGTCTCTGTCCTCCTCCTCTTCCGTTTCCTCCCCTGCTGACTCCTCTTCCTCTTCTTCCCCTTCCTCTTCCATTTCCACCTTGTCCACTACTACTTCCTTGATCTTGATACTCATTAAACATATGCTGATTGGTCGTATTCAATCCATGATTCACTCCTTCATTATACGTTCCTTGTGCTTGATGGTGGTATTGCTGGTTCCTCCCGTTTGGAGCTAGGTGAGACAACATCCGACCTCCTGTTACTGCAGTTATTTGTTTGTCGCTATTCGATAACATGTCCCAGCCTACTTGGTATCGTCCAGTCCAAGGATTCGTATGCTCTAGGGCTCCTCCTATGATATAGGGGTTGTCGAAATACCGGTGGTCTCCGTTAGCTTTTGAGTCTGTTATTGCTTGCTCTGCCAATTCATCATCTCTAGTTCCGACGTCAGATAAAGTTCCATCCGGTAATAAATGACTGAATACATTTGTACGGTGAGTGATGTCATATCTCAGAGCCGGCGCCCAAGCATCGTGATATTTCGTTTTCAGAGCTAACACTATCTTCCTGTGCTCTTCTAAACGTAAAGCTATATCTTCTCTATGGTACTTTGTCCTCCAATATTGTAGATAAAGGTTGAACGAAGTTGACCACATGAGGAAACTTTGGCGCCACTCGCTCGGGACTCGTAAACCCGCATATGATACCACATCTGAACATGAAGAGGATTGTTTCCGTCTATTTGCCATATGTGTCTTATCGGCCAATAACCATGCAGGTACAAAGATTGTTAGAGGAACACAACCGAAGCAAGCCGTCATTCTTCCATCCCAATAAGATGATATGTCTATCAAGCGGTGAGTTAGCGTCGTTCCATGATTCATCATCTTCCCTACTTTTGCTGGTTTCTCGGAAGGTTGACTTTTTCCTTTTCTTTTTGACGAACTTAGCTCTGTTTCTTCCTCTTCACTTGAGACCTCTAGCATCTCTATCATCTTCGGTTTTGATTTAACCTTCTCGCACCATTTATGATACGCTGTCTCTAGCATCTGGAACTTCCCAACTTTCCCTTTCGCATACAGCTTTAGCAGTTTGTTCTTGTATCGTTCATGTTCTCTTTCTACATGTGCGTCTTCTTTTACGAAATCTGCTTCATCTCCTGACACACAAACAAAAGGACCCGATACACGACGCAACAAAATCACACGTTAGTGTTTCATTCCACTTAATTCTCATTGCCAAATTCTGATATATTTCTTATACGTTCTTCCTAACACCTGGTCCACCCGTGTGGTTCCAGTATTCAAGCTTAGACTCATAGTCTTAAACGTCTGACCCACCTGTGTGGCAACAGAACCATTCGTATGTATAACACGTCTTACTGTTCCACCCGTGTGGCTACAGAATCATCTCTTTTTTCTTATCACTTCTAACTGATCCACCCGTGTGGCTTCAATTCTTTTCTAGGACTTTTATTTTACGAATATTTGTCTCCTTTGGATGGCTTGGTATATAACGATGACATATAGAGAAATTTTTGTGACTTGGAATGTTTGGATGAGAGCTTACCTAGTGAGATGGTATCCTCTTCCCCTTCATCCTCACTCCTTCCTTCTTTACTCATCACCTCGTTCTCTTCCTCTTCTGTCAAATCACTCCCAGGGATCTTCCGTTCTTTCTCCTTCTCGTCTTCTTCTTGGTTCTCTTCCTCTTCATCTACATTTTCTTCTTCTGATGTTTGATCTTTTGGAGTTCTTATTTTACCTTTTGCCGTACTTCTTGTTTGTCTACCTGTTGATGCTCCACCTCTACCTCGTCTTCCCCCTCTAGCTCTTCCTTTCGTTGCTTTTCCTCTTCCTCTACTTGCCGCTTCTTTTTGATCTTTTTGTTTTTCATGTTCTGATAAAATTTGTTCTACGTCTTTGCTGAACATTTCTGAACCTGTTGCATCTTGTGTTGCCATTTTGTTTTCTTGTGTTTTGAAAGAAATAAACTATATGTTTCTTTGCGGGGTACAGCGTAAATCTTGTAGATTTGCAATTCGAGTCTGAAGGTGTTGAGTGATGTAGCGTATACAGAACTTTGGGAATAAAATTTTCCCAGTTTGTATCGCTCTCTCTCTCTTGGGCCGGGTATTGTCCCGGCCCTGGGTTCGGACTCATACACCGCGACACTTGTCTCGATGGAACTCACTAGGTAACGTCGTACCTTTGGCCACCTGTGCCAATATTTTACAAGGTCCACTGCAGCAGTTTTTTGTGTCTTGGCTCCCTATACCATTGATATCCCCCACACTCCGGGCACCAAATATTATGTATGCTCTTGTAGGATTCTTCTGGAGAGGTAGTACATATATTCTCAAAATAGATTTGGAAAACTTACATCATCTTTCAGAAGATAGATAATGATCAAGGTATTAAATGGAATGCTTCAACAGTTGCAAATGTCCTCCTCCAAACAAGAATTGTCTGATGGTAGGAATGGTTTACAAGAAAAATTAGTAATACCCTAGAAAGCTTTTCTGAGACACACCCTAACAAAGGTGTCAAGATCTTCAAACAACAAAATTAGATCCAAACAGCATCATCTCCTTACTGAGCCTCCATTGAAAAAAAAACACTGCATTCAGATACGACAAGAGAATCTATAATAACTATAAACCTGGAAGAATGGAATGTTGATACAAATTAATTACATAGATTCATTGAGGTTCCACATCCATCAAATTCATCAAATTCATGCCACTAGTGCCTGAGATCATTATATCTTGTGAAACCATTGTAAAATCAACATGCAATTTCAAATCGTTCGTGGATGAAACTTAACCCATAATCCATCTTGAAAGCTCAAAGTCACAGAATGGACTTCTTTAATATTTTCCCTAACGGCTGATTTACCTGCTAACTCAACTCTAGAGAATTGATGAATTAATCTAATCAATGCGACAGACGTTTGAATATAAGCTGAAGAAGCAAAAAAACATTCTGTGTGAGTTTAACTTTCAAGAGAAAGGGGTTTTCTTTTCTTTTGAAAGCAAGAAAAAAAACTTACCAAATTGTTGACCAAGACAAAGTCTTGGACCTGCACTAAATGGTTGGAAAGTAGATGGATTTTCACTTTGTAAGACTTGTCTACCATCTAACCAACGATCCGGTATGAATTCTTCTGCATCCTATGCGTATTTCAAAAGGTTATCAAATCCAAGCTTCATTAGTTTCACAAATGTATCAAGAGGTTTTGTTTTTATTACTGACCATACCCCATACTTCTGGATCTCGTTGGAGGTCTTTGTAACTAAATCGACAATCAGTTCTAGATGTTTGAGTAAGCAGTTGATCAGTAACCGTCAATTTCAAAAGATATAAAGATGAAGTTAAAATGTGAAATAAGTAAAATTGCAATCAAGACTAACCCAGCTGGAACAAATATACCGGATGGTAATACATCATCTTCGAATGCACCGCGTAGGTTACACCAAACAGGTGGATGAAGTCTGAAAACCAGAGAAAACACATCAATGATGTTGATAAGGAGCAGATGTAAAAGATTGGATGAACTGGAAGCACAAACCTTAGAGTTTCGTTAATCACTGCTCTAAGTAATTTACATTGACGGATTTGATCGCTAGAAATTGTAGAAATTTGAGCAAGATGACTCGATTCTAATTGAAGTCGATGCCAAAGCTCATCCCGGCCAGCTAATTCGTAAATGCAACTAGTGATTAGAGAAGCAAGTGTATCTCTTCCGGCAATTAATATATTGAGAAGTTCATGACGAAGAAGGCGAGTTGAGCAACCTGATCGACGTATGCCATCGAGTAGGGTTTCAGGTTCTTGTTGATCATCTGATAAACTACGCTCTTTGGCTACATTCTCTATCAATACATCTACGGCTGCCGAGACTCTCTTAATGGATGGATCGGGTGATAATTTTTGAAATAATCTGACTATGAAAGCTAGGTAAAAGAAGAGGAAGGGGATTGGTGAAAGTCAAAAGCAAACTTCCACAAGACCGAAACAAGGTGCTTACATGGTATAAAGATATATGCTATACAATGTGTTTGGGCGTCAGCAAAGTCGGTGGAGAAAGCTGTTGCATCTATAGCACCTTCTTGTAATGGTCTATCAAGTAAGAGATCATTGAGCACATCCACACAATATCCAAAGAAATGTTGGGTAGCAACCGTGAGGGCTAAACGTGAAAAGACTAAAAAAATCAACAAAAAAGCACATCAAGTCAGTAAATCACAAGTTCATCGATAGTGACGAGAAAAATCGGACAAGTGAAACGGATCGTACGATCTTGAATATCAACAGAATGATCTGAGCCATTTTGAAATTCAATCCAACTAATCAATCTAGAGACATGTTCTTCACAAGCATCCACATCAGAAACTCTTTGTTTTGTAAAATGAGGTCTACTTAATGTTCTATGCCAAGACCAAAGCGATCTTTGATCAGAATTGAAGATACCATCATCTAACAATGGATAAAGAGCCTCTTTGAAACTATTTGATTTACCCCAATTTTGAAAGTTTTTAGATAGAATATAATTAACATCCAAATGTGAGAAGGTTTGAATGATTTCGGTTCCAAAGACATTAATTCTGATAGCTGGGGTTACTTTTGAATGAGAATTGAGGTAAGCGAATGAACTTGATGGATCACCTTTTAAAAGTGAAGTGATTTTATAATACAAGAATTTCAAATCAAATGGTATTGTACCAGTCACTAAAGGTGCTATTTTACTATTTAAGGATTTTGCTTTTGTTTTATTAGAGTGTTCTTCAACTTTCCATCTGATCTGATTCATCAAGTAAACTAATAAAATCAATATTACGAATTGATCCAGAAAAGTTAAACTGTTAACATTGAGATTCGGAATCATTGATGATAAGCCGATTCGATCCGATATGATCAACTCCATGATGTAGGTCGTAAGAGGCCGTCAGATGTGGTTTCAATATGTACGATTATAATTTGGTATGGATGGATTTTGGATGTATATCTACAGAAGACAAAAAGGACAAGATGGAGAAGTGTTCAGGGTTATATAACAGTCATTTCACAAAACATTGACCAAAGTTGCCCGGACAACTTTAGCAAATTGGCGGGGAACTTGAGTTTTTCTGAATTGACTGAAGTTGCGACAATTGCATAAAGTCCCCCTGAATTTGGTCGAGGTGGACTGGACGAAAATTTGGTTGCAATTGATTTCATAGCTTCAATCACACTTCATATTACATATTGTGATGGATATCCCAGAGGGTTTAAGTAGTACGCTGCGATCTGTCATGGTCAGTGTGATGTTTTCACATTTCCGGTTATGATCATAGGCGCTTTTTCTGAAAGATATGTGATACGTAAAAAATGACCAAACTTGAGACCCCCTATCAGCCGTCTACCGTAAACTTAACAAAGTCCCAGAACCAACCTTTGAGAGACGAATCAAGGCAGAGGGCAGCCAGTTGCTCGTGAAAAAGATATGTACATTGCGGAATCCTCGGTAGTTAAAGGTGTAAAAGGATTTTGAGGACAAGCAAAAGGCTCAACGGGGAGTCTTGTGTTTGTGCAGCATTGCCGATAAGTCTCGATAACTCCCTCGCAGGCTTGGGCTGTCGCAAGCGAAAGCTGACTGCGTGGGACTTTATTAAGTTTACGTCTACCGTTATCATTTGACTTAGATAAGGGGTGTGAGAACTTTGCAATGATTTCTTTGCAGGCATTGACTGGCTCATTGAGGGTTTCAAAAACCGATGTTTGTGAGATCCTTTTTGCCCCACGCGATCTTTCTGAATAGTCAGTACATATTTCCTCTTTTTGAATCGGGATTCGGAGATCGCAAGAGCCTATGTAGTGACTCGTGGGGTTGTGTACCCCTTGGCATGTCACAGCATCCACAGTATATTGACGAGGGTGGCCAAAGGCACGACGTCACCCAAGAGTTCCATCGAGACACGTGACGTAGTGTTCAGGATGGGGGCGCGGCCTTTAAAAAAAAGACGCGCCCTGGCGCGTTAGGCGCAGCCTCTCACAGTGCAAAAACAAAAAAAATGGAAAAGATGGAAAAAGAATCAAAAAATTGCTTTTTAACTAAACTTAAATACACTTTAGCTACTGATCAGGTAGGTTGAAGATGAGATATTTGAAGGTTGCATGTTACTTGAAGCCGTGGAAGTTGAGCAACGAGTGAAATTTGAACCGAATGGTTTAGAAGTCAATTCATAGAGGGTATTTACATGATTGGCATCACCAAAATGGAGTAGAAGACAAAGAGGAAACTTCATAAAATGCCGTTTGCACAAAATAGACACAGGGAAAGCCCCACTTTCTCACTACGGGGCATACAGACTTTTGGGCGCGCCAACCCTGTTTTCAAGATTGCTGGGGGCGCCTTGCGCCTAGGCGCGTGGCACGTGCCCTGGCGCGTTATTTTTTTGTGCCCCCATCCTGACGTAGTGTATGAGTGTGAAGTAATCAGGGCCGGGACAATACCCGGCCCTGTGAGAGAGAGGCTAGGCAAACTGTGAAAATCTCTTCATCACAGTTTGACACGCCACACACCACTCATACACCTCAGATTTGAATCATCAAATCTTTTGCTAAATGCTTCCCAAAAAGAAATAAAGTAATTTCATTTTGAAAACATCTTGGAAACAAAAAAGAAGAAATGGCAGCACAAGGTCAAAGCAGTTCCAAAGTATTCACAAAAGATGTGAACAAATTATGCA